CAGAGCCATTCTATGACCACTATGCCACGGCTAAAAACAAACAAATTCAGACTATGTTTATGAGCCGCTATGCCGCGGCTAACGATATATGAAACAACAACAACAACAACAAATACTCAGAGCCATTCTATGACCACTATGCCACGGCTAAAAACAAACAAACTCAGATATGTTTTATGAGCCGCTATGCCGCGGCTAACGATATATGAATAACCTGAAGCTTATTGATATCACTAATTAAATTTCATCTGCAATATATATATATATACATAGCAAAATCAGCATTTGCATGAAAAAATGGCCAGTTTTATTTTTTCAATTTTTGGCACTGAACACTTTTGTTGGTATTAGTCGTACTTTCTTTTCTCGTTCTGTCTTGTTTGCCAATTTATATTTCTACCTGTTTTCTATGTTTAACAATATCAAGTATTTTGAATCAATTTTTGTATATTTTCAAGTTTTGAGGCTCACAAGACCTATGCTTGCTTTTCAGCTAATGTGTGACGTGTCTGCGCCTTCCGGAGCTTCTAGTGGTTATTATAGATCGTAACAAGGTTTTGCGGTTAGAACATGCACATCGTACACAGTGGACCTTGTTTATAGAAGCTTAAATTGCCATATTCTTAAGTACAGAGAACACTTACATGGGATACACGCGTGAACCAATTTTAGACATGAATGTATATTACTGTAAAACACCATCTGGCACGGATCACGTGCTCTATTCGTGTTCGCGCGTTGTGCTTATTGGAATTATATGTAGTTACTGATAACTTAACGATATCTTTCGCCCGCATCTCACGGATTCTATTCGTATCTACTTCTCCAGAGTTGAAGATTGCGTCATGTACTCATGCTATTTCACACTCAACCTGTTGACTCTAATTTTCAAGCAACAGGTTATTGTAAATATTCAACACAAACTTCAAAATTGAGCTTATATAGGTTGCTCAAATTGTTAAATTTACATTAATAGGGTTTCCAACAATTCCGCGAAAGAAGGCAGATCGAAAGGTAAATTTATTTCTTAATACAATACTATCTTTAGTCTAATTTTTAGTAAATCTCCTTATCGTTCTGTAAAAAATATTATGAATAATTGTATGGAATCTAATGTTACCTTACGTTTAGTTATCTCTTTGTTGTTGTTTTTCGACTACGAGTGTGTTATTTATGTAAAATATATAGGGGCAGGAACAGTTAACTCTATATTTTCGAGTTTTTTAAACCTATGTATTGTGTTGCCTAATTTTATTTTTGTAAGAGCCTTCTTTCGAATATTTAAAACTTTTTAAAATATTTGAAAAGTTATGATAAATTTGTTCATAGACCTAACAAGCATCGTCATACTTCAAATCAATAAAATGTCATCATTGTTAAGTGGAAATAGTGAAATATTTAGTGGTAAGTATTACCAAAGAAGCCAGGCACAACTGAATGTGAACTACATCAAACAATAAGTCTTATGAGTCACCTAACAAAAAAAAATTATTGAGAATAGCTATGATGAGAGCAATAATCAGAATCAAACCTGAAGTAGCAGAGGATCAATGTGGATTTGTCGAAAGTAAAGGCACAGCCAATGCAATTTACATTTTGAGGACCATCTTAGAGCGTGCAATTGAAGTACAGCAAGATTTGTGTCTTTTTTTTCATAGACTACACAAATGTATTTAACAAAGTGAAACATGAAGTCATAATGAGAATTCTTGAACATTTCAGTTTGTATGGTAAAGATATGAGAATCATCATATATATTGAAAACAAACAGTAGTCATCATAGTTGAGAATGATCTTGGTCAATATCAGAAAATAAAGAGAGGAGACAGTCAAGGATGCGTGTTATCCACTGATCTCTTCTTCTTGTACAGTGAAATGATCATGAGAGAGATAGAAGACAATCAAAGCACTATTATTGGAGGCAACAATGTGAACAATATCAGATATGCTGATGACAGTGTTAATAGTAGAAATGGAACAGATCTTCAGTCCTTATTTAACATTGTAAATAAAGAAAGCGGAAATATGGGACTCAGCCTAAGCACCCAGAAAACAGAAACCATGGTTATGTCAAAGAAAAAAAAACAGTCCAAAATGCACTTTATCATTAAATGGAACCCTTCTCAATCAAATCTACAAGTTCAAATACTTGAGGACATGGATTACATCAGATGACAAATGTGAAAATGAGGTCAAGAGCAGAATTGCAAAGACTAAGACAACATTTATGAAGATGAAAAATATATTTACTAACAAAAGTATATCAATGATAGTGCGGAGAGAGGCCTTAGCTGCTACATAGAACCAATCTTGATGTACGGTTGCGAATTATGGACAATAAAGAAAAAAATGGAAAATCATTTAATGCAACCGAAATATGTTTCCTGCGTAGAATGTTTAGGGTTTCCTACCAGAAAACAACTGAAGAAGTTCTACAACAAGCAGAAGCAAAAATAACATTGATAACAAAAGTACGAAAAATACAAGCAGCATTCTTTGGGAACACTTGGTAACAACTGGGGAATTTGTGGGGAAAAGCAGTAGAGGTAGACAGCGAGAGAAGATCCTGGATACTTTAACAATTTGGCTACACAAAGAGAAGGTGACTGATGTAATCACAAGTGTCTGGGACCAGGAAAGGTAGAGGGACATGATCGCCTATGCTACAAAGCACGGCACTTTATGATTATGATGTTTACTGGGGTAGAGTTTTAAATACAGGTAATGAATTCAGTTTTACATTCGTTACTATTTCAAACAAAAGGAAAATATAATCATCCGAATAACTACATCACATCATAAGACTTTTATTTGTAATAAAAAAAATCTTAAAAACAGAGAGAGCGTGTGAATAAGCATAAAACACTTTTTATAACTACAACAAAGCTTCCAAAGCGTCATAAAATAGGTAAGATAATTACTTATGGCATAAAAATAGATAACATTAATAACTGATAAAAAAAAAAGCCGACCTAATCCCGAACCCAGCACTTTATTTAAGCTTTATATAACCTCGGAATTTTGACTTTATATCATCATGTAGAATATGTCAAGGTGTACCACAGAAATATCATTTTCCTATCACAAATACTGAATTAACACAAAGGTATGGGGAAATGTTCAATTTATATGCTTTTGGAAGTAAATATTTGACTACTTCAAACAGTTAAACGAAATAAAAAGTCTACCACTTCAAAGCCCGATTTTAACGTGTTTTTTATTTATTTTGTATTGCAACTGCTGCAAGTTGTTAGTGCGTTACCTTACTGTTTACCCACTGGGAGGCCATTGTGTGTTTACAAACGGTTTAATTAAGGGGTTGATAAACTTTAACGAGCCAAAATTAATCGCGAACTTTTTAGAATATATCTGGTTAATTTTTTAAAGTTTTTGTTACTTCGAGTTTATTTTCTGAATGGTAGATGCTGTTATGATACTTATAGATAGTTTTATCATCAAAGAACAAGCTTACGTGTAGAGTGAAGTTACTGATCTATTGAAGTTAGTTCAAATCATCATTCAAGTGTTTTGTTGATGTTCATAACACAAAGACAGATGGAATCTTAAATAAGCTTAGTTGAAGGAAACGAGTAAAAAAAAAATGTGTATACATTTATCAATTATATGTTTTCATATTTTGTGGAGTCTTTACATTTCCATTTTATACAGGGCCGTCATGGCCAGGTGGTTAGGGGCGCTCGACTCGCAATCTGAGGGTCGCGGGTTCGAATCTCCGTCACACCAAACATGCTCGCCCTTTCAGCCGTGTGGGCGTTATAATGTGACGGTCAATCCCACTATTCGTTGGTAAAAGAGTAGCCCAAGAGTTGGCGGTGCTGATGACTAGTTGCCTTCCCTCTAGTCTTACACTGCTAAATTAGGGACGGCTAGCGCAGATAGCCCTCGTGTAGTATATGTTTAGAGGTGAGAGGTACTTAGGTCTACTTCCATCATGTATGTAGTAGCGATCAAGTTCGCAAAGTACCGCACTTTTTTACCCCATAATTTGATGTCAAAATCTGCTTGACGATATACGATATACGATATACACAAGCCATGTGTAAATATATTTAAATAGGTATGCATAGTTTAGTTCAATTGAATGTGTTATTTATAACAATTTATAATACTCCCTAAATAATAAAAAAAAAATA